AATTAATAAATTTTTAATGCATTCAAAGTATTTTTTTCAATTAGCATTTTTCAGTAACATTTGTGAGCCTAAATTAATTATTTTTTAGTGCCCAGTAATCCCTATTAGTCCAATACCCACTAGAAATTTTTAGCCCATCTAGATGTACAAAAATTAATTGATTTAGGATAGAATATGTTACTGAAAAAAATATTTCGGCATGCTAAATACACTAAAAATTAATTAACTTAGAATATTGTATACAAGCAAAAACAGTATTTAAGATAGATGCCCTGAAAATCAATCATTTTATATTAATAAGTATTGCTAAAAACCTAACCTCGTAGATTGGATCAGATCAGCATCGCCTGGGATTAGGAAGTTTTCATTGGCACGTCACTAGCCAGGCCGCTGGGGAATAGGGATCTAACTAATAGGAGCAGTTAACGTGTAAACGTGTCGTGGGATGAAGGAGATTGATTTGATTATCATGGTCCCGCCACAAAGAAACGGATTCCGTAACCCGCTGCATTCCAAGTGCGGCGCCGTTCAACAGTCAAAGGCATCAGGGGGCAACGCCCAAAGAGCGTCTTGCTGTGTAGAAAAATTAGTTTAATTTTTAATTTCATTTTAAATATAAAATTTATTTTGAAAAAGACAATATATATTTAATACAAATAAATAATTTAATTAATTTTTTTAATATATTCAAATTAGTTAACTAATTTTTATATTAAGAATTAAAAATATTACAGAGTAATTCCTCAAGACTAAAGGATTTGGCCATTCTTTAACAAGGTAAAATTTTGAATTTTATGGATAAATTAAAAAATTATATTAAAAAAATTAACATTGAGTAGCATCTAGTGCCTTCAAATAATTTAATAAAAATCCTAAAATTTTCAAAGATAGATAAATAAATAACCGAACTGCAAATATCTATATATATAACTTTTTTTTTTGGGGGGTGTTTTGGGTGTATGAGATGGAGAGCTGCTTCCGGCTAGTTCGGTGGGAGTTGATTCCCTTCGGCCTTTGAAATTTGACCTTTGAAATTTTGAATCTGAATGGTAGGATAAAAAGTCCTTTGTCCTTTTGAACAAAAACTTGCACTTTGAATGATGCAAAGCAAAACTTACACATTCATTGAACCAAAATTTGTTACACAACTTATAAGAAATACCTATATTTAATATCTGATATCTGATTGTAATTTAAATAAGATTATTTCTAATATGAAGATACATATGCCTAGAAAAAATTTATTATATATTTTTATAGTGTCATTAAGGGCAAATAGTCTTCTACTCATACAATTCTTGCAGATTACACAATTAATTTAATGTTGAAGTTTTCCCAAAAATGTGTGTTCATATTCCCCTATCCCTTACGGAAGGCAATTAATTCTTTGTCCTCCTTCCATGTCAAATATAAGTGAGATCATTTTAATTTTCAACTTGGCACCTATTTAGTTAAGCAGTGAAAGCTCAAATAAGCCTGTTTGAATCTAAATAAGTGATTATGATGTCTATTTATTCTGTTTGGATAATTTCTATAAAATTTTAATAAATTGCTATTTCACTCTTCAACCACACTTTTAGAATAAATAGCTCTTGTCTTTGAAGAATCTAGATGAATTTTCATAACTAAATTTTTTTCAATCTATCTTCTTACATTCTTCTGAAAACCTCTCTCCAAATGGTTATACTTAATAATATTCATTAAATTTATATTTTTTCTGATAATTACATGTCCACAAGTGAGTTTAATAAATAAAGATTAAACATAGCATAATTCTTAAAGTCACTCATAAAAAAAATCTAAACAGAAATTATGATTAACCAATATCATTTATAGCTAGTGTCATTTATAAAATTTACAATCATCTAAAATCACGGTTATTTATTGCTAATCCAACCGGGTACTTAAAAATGTTGTCAAATGTGAATCAATTATCATTACTAAAAATATGGAATTATTGCAAGAGAAAAACTAATATGTAATAAAGCATCGATTTGATCTTTTTAAATACGTAATTAATGAAGATTTATGACGAATCCATATACATGTGTGTGTATCCATCCATTGTCTATAGTAATTGAGCTACTTTTTGGATTAATAACTAGCGATCACTTTAATATAAATATGGAGCAAGCTTCTTTAATTGAGTCGATTTTGATGCCAATAAATACGTGAATAAATAAAGGAATTATTAAAACACGGATCACATTAATTATAACAGTACTCCATATTAGATATGGGCATTGGGCACACATAGCTATAAGCCTATGAATCTTTATATACCCCATATAAATGATTGCTTAAAATTCAGTTAACTAATTTGATAAAATTAAAAAAAAAATAATCTTTTAATCCTTATAGTTTTTATTTATTTGTAACTCAATCTTTATATTTTGACTTGGTGCAACTCAATCCCTATAGTTTTGACTCAATTATAACTCAGTCTCTGAAATTTGACTCACTGCAACTTGGTCCCTGTGTTTTTAACTATTTTATAATTTAGCCCCTCTTTTTATTAGATATATAATTCTATTTTTCAAAAACACAAGGGCTAAATTATAAAATGGATAAAACTGTAGGAACCGAGTTGTAGTGAGTCAACCTTCAGAGACTGAGTTACAACTGAGTCAAAACTATAAGATTGAGTTGCACCGAGTCAAGGTACAGGGACTGAGTTACAAACGTGTCAAAACTACAAGAACCAAAGTTAATTTTCCCTTTTTTAAATTGTATTCCCTCCGTTCCTTATTATAAGAGACAAATAACCAAATTACGTTGATAAAAAAAACAGTTAAAATTAGTTTAGGACAATTAATGTGTAAAAAGTATAATGTTTTTTCCAATAATGCCCCTATTAATAAGGAGAAAGAGTATGAGAGAGAACAATTAAATTATTAAAAAAAAGAGAAGTGGGAGGGAGAGAGAATATGAGTTGGAGACAAAATAAATAGGGGTAAAATAGGAAATCAATACAAAAAAACAGAGGCAACTTTTAAGTGTCTCTTATATATGGGAACATACCATAAGCATCAAATGTCTCTTATAATAAGGAACGGAGGGAGTAACATTTTATATGATCTTTCTAAAATGTTTATATGCATTATTAAATTATAGAAAAATGATAAATATAATATTTTAAAATAATTTATTTAACTTTTTTAATTTTTGCAAATTAGTCAATTGGGTTTTATGTTAAGAATAACATGCATCATCATCATCATCATCTGATAAAAAAATCCATGGCATTTAATGATTCATGATGAATTTATGCCAAAATATATTTTTTATACTATTTTCTGTCTTTAATATAAAAATTAGTTTAACTTTCAATTTGGTTCAAATTCTACCTTCTTTTCTTAATATAAGACCTCATTTGAATTTTATTTTGGTCCTAATTATAAAATTTCAATTCACTTTATCTCTTATATTTATGTATTTTTTTCAATGTAGTCCCTCTAATAATGGTAGTTCTAGCCAATAAACTTGATTAACAAAGATATTTTAGAAAAGACAACATCTATTTATTATAAATAACTAACTTAACTTATTTTCTTAATTTTCTCAAATTAGTTAACTAGCTCTTATAATTAGGACCGGAGGTAGTATAAGATTCCAATTCACTTTGCCTGTTATATTTATCTATTTTTTGAAACGTAGTTTTTATAATAGTTACACATGTTAAATGTGATATCTAATGATACTTGATTAACAAAAATTATTTTTTTAAAAATAATATTTATTTATTATAAATAACTAATTTAATTAATTCTTTTAATATATTTAATTGGCTCTTGTGTTATGCTTATTCTTTTTCACCTAATTTGAGCCGCGTGGCACTACACGGAGCGGTGCCAAGGCTGTCCCACGGCTTATCAAATTTAAAATCTTCCCAACTTTTAATCCAATCTGTGTTTCTATTCTCATATCCTTTTTAGCAAAAACAAATAATTGAACACATATCCGGTAAAAAAAAATTGAACATATAGATAAAATTTAGAAAAAATTACCAATAAAGACCCCCAAATATATAGAATTGTGATTTGAAGCCCTTAATTGGAAAATAATAAATAAGGATTCGGTTTTACTTTTGCAAATATGAAATTGTTTTGAAATTTTTGAAATACATCTTAGCCAAATGACAAGTTAACTATAAAAAATAATAAGTTCACTTTAATGAATGACAATTTCCGTAGACCAAATTAGAACTTGGCTGAAAGTATGCTAAATAATGAGTTGACTATGAGAAATGACAAGTTCACTTTAGCAAATGACAATTTGAGTAGATCAAATCACAATTTGACTGAGGGGCATTTCAGACATTTCACTCATATTTTATATTTACAAAATTGGAACCCGGTTCTTATTTGCTATTTTTCAAATTTAGAGTCCCACATCATAATCTTACATATTTAAGGGGGTTTTTATTTGCATTTTTCCCTAAAAATTAGTTTAAAATAATAAATAGGTAAAAATTATAATTTTTCTAAAAATACTCTTATTTTGAAGAGGAAAGGGAGAGAAAATTAATAAATGAAACCAATAATTAACGAGTTAAAATGAAAACAACACTATTGAATATTTCAAACAGGCTAATATCATTTGTTTTTAATAAACAGGAACATGCTATAATTTTTTTTTTGAACATTAAGGAACAAAGGAAGTAATTTTTCCATATTATTTTACAAAATTTTATATTTCTTGATAAAAAAATGTTGAAATCTTCTATAGCTGACAAATAAAAAACATTTTTACCCGAAAGAAGGAAATTTTTCATATACTCAAAATATCTCTCATCATTTTACCAAAAACAGAACTCTCATCAGTTTTTTAAAAAATAAAAATAAAAATATGCAGGCAAGCACCGCGTATTTAACTGACAAGGAGCTTCAAGCTGGTTCAATACCTTCATCTGGCTCACTCATTTCACACGCTCACACACACAGTCACTCTCTCCCTCCCCCCTCCCTCCCCCTCTCCTCCTCTCCCTCCCTCACCACAAAATAGCATTCCGGCGACTCCTCCGATCTATCACTTCCTGCAACCGTTTAACCGGAACGATGGAAAGAGAATGAGGAATTACCGGTGCCGATCATCATGTCGGTTTCCTGCTCCGATCACTACTTCTGTGACTCCGACCTTCTTTGCAGCGAGGATACATCCGGAATCTTGTCCGGAGAGTCGCCGGAGTGCTCCTCCGACCTTGATTCCTCGCCATCGCCAGTAGTTCCAGAGGAGTCGATAGCCGGATTCATCGAAGAGGAGCGCAACTTCGTTCCTGGATTCGATTATTTCTCCAGAGTTCAATCTCATTCGCCCGACGCCTCCGCCAGAGAAGAATCCGTTGCATGGATTCTCAAGGTAAACAAAACTTTTTCCTTATCTGTAATCATTGGACACTGATTTTGACCGATATTACGTTTTTGCCACCGGAGCATTTTCGTTGACGGCTAATTAACTTTCCAAATGGATCACGTGAAAATGCACAACGGCGGTAACCGTTTCCTAGAAGCAGTCGAGAATCTCTAGATCTAAGCCGCCTCTGACCTCTTCCGTCTTTCACCGTTTCGCCACCGATTCCGACGAAGTTTACGGCGCACAGTGTTTTTCACGCGTATTAAATATAACTTGACGATTACTGTTTTGCAGGTGCAAGCACACTATGGTTTTCAGCCGCTGACGGCGTATCTTTCCGTCAACTATTTGGACCGGTTTTTGGATTCTCGGGAGTTTCCTGTGAGTTTTCTACTTTTGTTAAGTTCTTGGGAGTTTCATGATTAGTTATTAGTATTACCATGAGCGTGTGGAAAAATTCTATGCGTAATGATTTTGACTTTTCAGCCCAAATGATCCATAGGCATGGTGCGTTGCTATGGTAAACTTTATTTAATTAAAAAATAAACTTTTTACGGGCTGAAAATTAAATGCACTGAAAAATCTAACTTTAATTAATTAATTAATTGATGTTATATACATAATATTAAAAATTTTGTATAGATTTTAACCTAAAATAAAAATAACTAAAAATGAATGTAATATATTATAAATAATTTTTTTAATAAAATTTTTAAACTCAAAAATTGTTTATACTCATAAATTTATTTTGGTGGGGCACGCAAATATCTAATGCTTTTTAGGGTCTCATTGGCTACGTACAAATGTAAGTCATACATGCTAATTATTACGCCAAAGATGTTCGAGCCTTTTCCTCTTGGATCTTTTGGTTAACGTCCTTTCTTCTTTATAATAAAGGTTCGCTAATTGACCAAAGGAAAAAAAAAAAAAAAGATAAACAAAGAATTACTATTCCATTAGCCTCTCAAATACTTGAATCAATAAATGTTAATAATTAATCGTAGTCATCATAACTCAAGTTATTTACTAATAAACATTTAAAAGTTATATGTAACCAGTAACCGATATATACTAGTACGGTATAGCGGTGTACTTTAACATTCACAGTAGAATATCTCACCCAAAATAATTATATACTGATTATCATTGTTACTCTTTTCATTTACTTTCTGTTTGAATCGTGTTTTCAGCAATCGGATGGGTGGCCGATGCAACTTTTATCTGTTGCTTGTTTGTCATTAGCTGCAAAAATGGAGGAACCTTTAGTTCCGCCCCTTTTGGATCTACAGGTAGAAGGTGCCAAATATATATTTGAGCCAAGAACAATTCGTCGGATGGAACTACTTGTTCTGAGTGTTCTGGATTGGAGGCTAAGATCAATCACGCCATTCAGTTTCATAGATTTCTTTGCTTGCAAACTGGATCCAACGGGAACTTTCACTGGGTTACTCATTTCTCGGGCTACAGAAATAATCTTATCTAATATCCAAGGTACATAAAGTACAAGTAATACTTCTCATATTACGTTTTGAGTTGTGTATACATTCATCTTTAATTGCCTTTTCTTTTGTACACTTTTTGTCCAGAGGCTAGCTTTCTTGCCTATCGGCCATCATGTATTGCTGTCGCGGCCATACTTTGCTCAGCTAATGAAATTCCTAACTGGTCTCTTGTTAAGCCTGAGCATGCTCAGTCATGGTGCCAGGGACTGATAAAAGTAAGTATGTAACTATACGGAGTGATCTTTTTTTGGTTAAAATATCTTCTTCCTGCTTGTGATTCAAGGAAAGATGCCGAAGTACATGTGTATCTGATGGGTGCAGGAGAAAATCATAGGTTGCTACCAGTTGATCCAAGAACTTGTGGTTGACAATAATCGGAGGAAGCTGCCTAAAGTCTTACCACAGTTGCGAGTAACGATCCAACCCAGAGTGAGTTCAACCCAGAGTGAGTTCAAGTATTTTATCTTCGTCTTGTCTTCGTCTTCGTCTTCTTCCTCCTCCTCCTCTTCGTCGTCGCCTAGTAAAAGGAGGAAATTAAATAACTGCTTGTGGACAAAGGAAATGCCCAGTGAATATGGCGAAAAAGGAGGGGTAAAAAAATAATGGTGGTCCATATTGCCTAGAAACCTCAGCATTTTTTCAGAGGGTTTTGATATTAAAAATTGACTGAAGTGATGGTGTAGATTATAGTATATATACATATGTTGTATGTATCAGAGTTTGGTGAGTTTGGGAAAGTTTTGTTATTACTTTTCTTTTTGGTGGGTACGGCCAGTCATTAATGGCTTTGCAGATTCCCAAGGG